GTCGGTGAAGCATTGTTGCATGCACCGTTGATAGGTGGCGCTAGCGTTCTTTAGACCAAAAGGCATGGTTACGTAGCAGTATGAACCATATGAGGTGATGAATGAAGTTGTGAGCTGGTCAGACTCTTTCATCGCGATCTGGTGGTAGCCTGAGTAGGCATCCAGAAAGGAGAGGATTTCGCATCCTGGGGTGGAGTCGACTATCTGGTCTATGTGTGGCAAAGAAAAATGGTCCTTCAGACATGCCTTGTTGATGCCAGTATAATCAACGCACATTCTCCATTTTCTGGTCTTCTTTTTAACAAGAACAGGATTGGCAAGCCAGTCGGAGTGGTATACCTCCTTGATGAACCCAGCTACTAGGAGTTTGGTGATCTCCTCGCATATGGCCCTACTTCTGTCGTCGTCAAAGCGACGCAGTCATTGCTTGGTGGGCTTTGAGCTTGAGACGAGGCGTAACGCGAGCTCGACGACCTCCCACGGTATGCTCGGCATGTCAGAAGGTTTCCATGCGAATACATCGCGATTGGCGCTTAGAAAGTCGGTGAGCTCGCATTCCTATTTGGCCAGGAGCTTGGCCCGATCCGTACTATTTTTGTTGGGTCGGTGGGGTCGATCCCCACTGCCTTAGTTTCCTCAGTTGTCGAAAGGCAATTGAGGAGGTTGGCTTGTTGCAGTCTAGGACTACCGGGGTCGATGAATTCCCGAGCTTAGGGAGCTCAGCTAAGTGGATGACGGTAGTGGCAAGCTCGTAATGCTCGCGGCCGCATGTGTAGGCGTGCGAAAAGGTGCTACCCACAGTGATGACGTTGTTCGGTCCCGGCATCTTCAGCTTGAGGTAGGTGTAGTTGGGGATCGCCATGAACTTGGCGTAGCATGGCCGCCCCAAGATGGCATGGTAGGACCCTGGGAAGTCCACCACCTCAAAGGTGAGGACCTCCGAGCGGAAGTTAGCTTGGTCACCAAACGTGACGGGCAGGTCGATCTGCCCGAGCGGGTATGCCTACATCCCTAGGATCACACTGTGGAAGGGAGAGCTCACTCGGTGGAGCTCCGACCGGGGGATGCGCATGGCGTCGAGGGTGTCGATGTAGAGGATGTTGAGGCTGCTGCCTCCGTCCATCAGCACCTTGGTGAGGCGCTTCTTGCGGACAATGGGGTCAATGACGAATGGGTAGCGACCCGGTCTAGCGACATGGGAAGGATAGTCCCTCTAATCAAAAGTGATTGGAGATTCTGACCAGCTAAGGAAAGAGGGGACGGATGTTTCGGCGACGCATGCCTCTCTATAGCACACTTTGTGCTGGCGCTTGGAGTAGATGGCATCGGATCCCCTAAAGATCATGAGGCATTCCTCGGGATCAGGAAAGTCATCCCCATCCTTGCCCGCCACGCCTCCTTTCTTGGTCGCTGCCTCCTTGCCCTTTCCTTCTTTTGGTCCACCGACCTATCGCAGAAAGCGCTTGAGGAGTTCATAGTCCTTGTAGAGGTGCTTGACGGGGTCAGCGTGGTTGGTGCATGGACTCTCCATGAGCTTATCAAAGTGGTTGGGCTGGCCCTGCTAGGGTTGCTTGCCCGCACGATCGGCCACGGCGACCAAAGCGGAGTTGGCCGGTCGACGCTGATCCTTCTTGTTCGTTTTGCCCCTTTGCGTGGAGGGGCCCTCATCTTGGTCCTTGCGCTTGGCCTTGCCCTTGTCCCAGCCTCCACTAAAGACCGCTCCGACTGCCTCCTCGCTAGAGGCATGGTTTGTGGCGACGTCGAGCAGGTCGCGGGTGGTACGGGGCTTCAGACAGCCGAGCTTGTGGATCAAGGACTCACAAGTTGTCCTAGAGAGGAACGTGTTGATGACGTCCGCGTCAACGACATCAGGAAGGGAGTTACATTGTTTCAAGAACCTATGGATGTAATCCCGTAGGGACTCGTTGGGCTCCTGCTGGCAGCTCTTGAGGTCCCAGGAGTTCCTAGGATGGACATACGTCCCCTGGAAATTCCCAATGAAGATCCTCTTGAGATCTGCCCAGTCGCGGATGCTGTCAGGTGGGAGGAATTCGAACCATGCTCGAACATGCTCCCCCACGCAGATGGGGAGGTATTGAATGATGAAATGGTCATCATACACTCCTCTAGCTCGGCAGGCGAACTAGAAGTCTTCGTGCCATATACCGGGATTCGTTTTCCTGGTGTATTTGGCGATGTTGGTAGGCAATCGGAAGCGCTGTGGGAACGACGCTTTCTGGATGCGATGGCCAAAGGCCCATGGTCCTGGGCCATCTGGGCTAGGACTCCGGTCATCTGGTCGACGACCATGCCTAGGGTGTGTTTCCCCGCTCCCCCCGATGGTCCGGCCAAGGCCCATGCCGCCAGCTATCACCGCCCCATGATGGACGTCATCATCACGCCGGGCTTGACGCCGATTGTTGATGACGCTGCGAGTGTCTCGGTTCGGCCCAAGCCGTTCACGCACAGGTGGTTAGTGTGGAGTGGGCGTCGGGTCAGGCCGTGGTGCAGTTGTGTCCTCCTGTTCCACGCGCCGATGACTATAGTGGTGAGCGGATGGAGCGATTCGACTGGTGCGCCCCCATTCCCCCTGTAGGGAAAGAGGCCACGAGCCGGTGTCGCGACGCGGAGCTCTCCGCCTGTTGGACGGCGGCGGTTTCCACCAGCGCCCGGAGGTTCCGGTGGATCGTCTGCTCCTGGGGGTCGACAGGCTTGGGAAGGCCACATAAAAGCATCGCAGCAGCGGCGATGTTCTGGCCAGCCCGAGCGAACTATGGGGCATCGCCGCCGCAGTGTGTTGCACCGAGCGCGCCGACGCCGGTGGCGGCTGGCTCCACCGCCTTTGTCGTAACTCCTCGCCGTGCTCCTGCGTTCATGCGAGGGCCTCCACACGAGGGTCCGGAGGGGTGTGAGTCTGTAGAGACTCTGCTATCACCGGCGGCTGTCCCAAAGCGTCTACCATAGTGCACTCCCGGGACAGAGGGTGGCTAGGTGCCACGACGTCGCCGATGTTGGAGCCGTCACTTTCAACCTCGTCATCCACGAGGTCATGGAAAGAGGTGGGAGCGTAGCCTGCCATCCTCACGAATTTGGATGTGAGAGGGGGCGGCGTCAGCATCTTTCGGAGCCCCCGTGTGTACGTGTTCGTGGGGACGCAAGGCCATTAGGGAACCGGTCGCACAGCGATTGCGGTGAGGACAACGGGGTCCCTCCGGAGAGTCGGCGGAAGACATTAAATAGCGAATAAAGAACAATATGTATGTTACTTACAGTGGGGTTTGAGCCCAGTGTGGGCTCGGAGCGAAGCGCAGGTGTCTCGTCGTTGAGGTCGCCGGGTGGGCCGGAGCTGATGGAGGGCGCTCCTCCTCCGATGGGCGCCGGGACAAGTGCCTCCTCACGAAGGCAAAGCATGCCGAGCTGGTCAGTGACAAAGTCCAGGCTTCCGAAGAGGAAGGTCTAGGATGGCTCGAAGATAGGAGGAACCCACATCCCAACAGGTGGGAGCGTGGGAAACTCCAGTGAGCCAAAGCGAATCGTATCGTTTGAGCCTATCATGACGAAGATGGCGGAAAGGTGGGCCATCCGATGACCAAAAGTGTGAACGTACGGCGTCCTCCCATGGACGGCGCCAACTGTCGGTGCGAAAAGTGACCAACAAGTGAATATTTATAGTTTTGCCGTACGTTGTGATCGGATGTGGCCTAGCACTCAATGACACAGGGTTTATACTGGTTCAGGCAACGTGCCCTACGTCCAGTTTCGGTCGGTCGATGACTTTATTTCTGAGCCCAGGTGCTCGAAGTTTGCTGTGGGGTTACAAACGAGTGGGAATAAGATGGGGGTGTTAGAGGTCTGGTCGGACTCTGGACTGAAGGGCCAAAAGTGACGGGAGCTCCTACGTGCGCTAAGTATTGGAACGTATGCTCTGTGTAGCTTTAGAGTTCTAGAGCCGTGGAGCTGTTCGAGTGCTCAGAATGTCTAAAGCTTAGCAGAGTGAGAGTCGAAATCCTCCGTCCTCTATTGGGAGAGAGCGCATCCCCTTTTACAGGTGAAGGGGATGGCCTTACAAGTGTGAGAGAGTGTGAGAGAAAGAGAGTGTGTGTGCTACCTAGTCTTGTTGCCCACGCCGTCGGGTACAAGACGATTTGTCGGCGCCCACAATACTGTTGACGCCCAGATGAATGTGGTAGGCTCCATTATGTTCTTCTGGTATGGCAAATATCGGCGCCTACCATACTGTAGGACAAATGTCGACGCCCACAACACTGTTCGTGTTCTGACATGTCTGGAAGGTTGCAAAGCATCCTTCTGACATGGTCTGGCGGTACTGTCCTGCAGGTGTGCAGGGTACGGTCCTCGGTATTGCGGTTTGACTTGAGCGTCTTGCTTTATCTGCTCTGCCGGATTCTTGGGTCCTCACCGAGCGGGCGTCTCCGGTCGGTCGTTCCCAGTCGGCTCCGACAGCGCCGGTCGGAGAAGAACCGTAAGCAGAGGTTCGGTGTATTCCCGGTCGGAAAAGTGGGTCGAAGTCGGAAGCGAGCGTCGTCCCCTCCTTGGTCAGACCTTCCGGTTGGAAAAGCGGGTCGGAGTCGGAAGCGAGCGTCGTCCCCTCCTTGGCCAGGTCTTCCGGTCGGAGACTGGATCGCTCTTCCGGCCCGTCGTTAGGTATCTGGGCCGGCCCAAAAGTCGCGTGTCGTTGTAATGCCGCCTGCTGGGCCGAGACCTCGGGATTATGAACCCGACAAATCATAAATGAAAAGCCTGGAACTCAACTGTGAACTGTCAATGTGCTGTACATGTCTGTAATCTGTACCGAGTATCCTATCCTTGTCGACAGTAACGTATTTACAGGAATAGGAGCATTGTGTCAGGCAAGAAATAGGTTAGTGATACTCAGGAAATTGAAGTTTTCCTCTTCCTGAATATTCATCCTCCTGTGTATGTACAAAGCCTTCAGGTGTTTGCGTCAATCGATAGAGTGCTTGTAATTGTCCTGAGTGTTAACTGATAGAGGGGAGAGTAGGTTGACTGAAGCCGAGGCCAGAAACCCCATCCAAGGAACCAGGGGCAACGTGTTTTACTTGGCCATACCGCCTGATATGGCGAAGGAGCCTGGCAAGGAAGGTGCTGTGACAAATAGTGGAGGTATCACAAACCACAGTAACGTGCTTCCGTGCTCTCGTAATAGCCACATTGATGCGCCTGCTGTCGCCCAGAAACCCTACAGCTCCTAGTGGATTCGAGCGAACCTAGAATTGATACAGATATAAACCTCAGTATAAAGTAATGGAAAACGAATTGATTTGTTATTGTGAATCTCATTCATACTTCTATGATATATGACTCAAAAAGAGAGCACACATGCTACAGTGCTTACCATTGATATGATCACTGCATCTGCCTCCCTCCCCTGAAAGCTATCTATGGTTGAAACCTCAACAGCAGAAAGCCCAGGATATTCTTCTAGCTTCTCTCTTAACAATTGCACTTGAGCAATGTAGGGTGACTGAACAGCAATTGCAGTTGGAGACACTCCTGCAACCATGATTTTTGAGGCGCCTGTCAGCTCAATAATCCAAGCATAGAAAATTAGGGATAAGTAGGTTCCGCTGATCAAGGCTAACTAGTAACTGTTAATCCTAATCAATAGCCAACAGGAATGAAATAGGAATATAGAACATGAACGAAATATGCAAAGAAAAGCATGATACAACAATGTGCAGTGTTCAAGTAAAGAAGTAAATGGTGTGTATATACCACAGAGTACTAGATTAAGAACTTGCTGTGTGACTATATCTGCTTCTCCTTCATTATAAAACGAGCCTGTGCCTGCAGGATCTAAGTGCTCCTTGCAACCAATGTTTAGGGCTCCATTTGGCATCCGGGTGTCAAGTAAGAGCAGTGGGCACCGTGTTATCCAAGTAGCCTGAAATCAACAAAAGATCCAATTGACAGGTCTGCATTTGTTCAAGGATTCAGGCTAGCTAGCAACACCAAGTGCAGTCATGACAAAAAAATCCTAAAGAAAAACGTGTGGGTTTCAAATAAAATAAGAAAACAAGAACGAAGACACTTTGGGTTTGGTCCCAGAGGCAGTTTGGATCCAACTGTTTCTTTCATACATAAAAAAAATCATGCAAACAATTATCTCCAATACCAAGAGGTGATGTATAGATAAGTTTTCTTGGAAATTCAGCACAAATTAAGCTCAAATACATGCTCATGCCTATCTGCTAAATAATCCAAGTAGAGTAAAACCAACAGGATTCAGGATTAGTAAAGACGTTATATTTAGGGCTCTTATAATCTTCAACAATAGGTTCTATCCTCAACACCGTACATAATAGCCAAACAGCTTGAACTGAACAGTAAAACAAACAAACTGTCTACAACCTGTGAATAGGTGTAACCGTGTAACAACTATCAGAACTGTCAGGGTACAAACAACTCCGTACAGTAACACGAAAGTGTTGTTTTGGACAGCTATACGCCCAAGATATAACTTTGAACGCGAACTTTTATCTTGATATATTTACACAGAAAATTATAAATTACTTTTGAAGAGTAATTTAGCCGTATCATTTTTAAATGTGTCTCAATATTCAGAATATATGGCCAAAATTCAAACAGTTTGACTACACAAAACTCAAAAGGCACCCTTTTTAGGAATCATGAAGGTAGATTAGCTCATGAGACTCATGATTAAAAAGTTAATATTGCCTATCTGAAGTACACATAAATGAAACAAGCAAATTGAGGATGAGCATCAAGAAAATTCTGTAAAACCAATGCAAGATAGTTGTTCATCGCTGTTTATGAAGCGTTTGTTCAATCTTCAATGTCAAAAAATGGATGCTTTTAACAGATATTGATAGAAACATAGCATATCAAATTAACAAATCTACTTTCTTAAAGCTCAACAGATCCCTGAATTTAGCATAATTGGCCTACAGCAACCCTATAGGAAAAAGTTGTAGAAGATGTTTTTTCCTTCATGAAGGATGGATTATTAGCGATCAAATGGCTACGACATGAGATTCCTTTAAACAATGTAGTGAATTCATTGGGATCATTTTGAAACTTTTACATATTTTTAATTTAGTGCTCAAGGAAGTCGTCTTTTTTTATTAAAAAATGCATAGAAGGGAGTTTGATCATGATCCTTGAGCATTGAATTAGAGAGTACTAGGCAAGATCACCCACACTTCATACCTGGAACTAAAAGTGCAAATGTGGATACCTTGACAACTGGAGAGTCGGCAAGAAGATGTGAAGCAACCAAACCAGAGGATTTGAGCAATCCATGGTACATCTCTTTAGATGCCCACATGGCTACTGAATCGTGCATTCTGTACTGGACAGTAAGTCTTGTAGTAAGTAATCCATCATGCAATGATGAAGCTGTTTCCAATAAAGATTTACCAAGCCCACCGTCCAAGGCCTTCTTCGATAGTATAACGGGTGCAAGCTGGCAGTGGTCGCCGGCAAGAATACAGCGTTTCCCCTGCAATATAGGTATCCAGCAGGCTGGTTCAATCGCTTGCCCAGCTTCATCTATAATTACTACATCAAAGGAACCAGTTCTCCTGACGAGTGGATCAGCTGCCCCTGTATTAGTCGATAGCACAACCTGTGCATCAGAGAGCACTTCTCTGATTGTTTCCTTTTCTTTATTTTCTAGATCCTTTCCGAGTTGCTTCAGAAGTTGGCGAATGCCAGCAGCTAAAGAATCATCTTCTATGCACTGCCTCAGGTCCTTTCTTAAATCTGTTCTCTTTCTCTCAAGCTCCTTCCTGAATTGTCGAAGTCTGCAATTCACAATCTCTCCCAAGGACTTTGAGGCAACAGAGGGTGATAGTCGAACAGGGTTCCCAACTCGAACAATGTTCAATCCAGTACTCGACAAACTTTCAACCATGTTATCGACTGCCGCATTGCTTGGAGCTGTCACAAGTACACGCTCGCCCTGCTTGACAGCACGCACAATCAGCTCAGTGAGCAACACTGTCTTTCCAGTGCCAGGAGGCCCTTGGATTATTAGAATGGGCCTCTTTTTGTTCAAGCCTAATTTCAGAGCCCTTAACTGGGAGGCATCAAATGCATACCTCTCTGATAGACTCAGATCAGGTCCACTTGATTCATCCCAATCAGTCAGGTTATTCTTCGCCATCTTCACCACGTCTTTACTGTCCCCAAATAGTGTTGCCACAACGCCAATGGAGGCATTGTCTTTCTGTAAACCATTCCTTTGAAGAAGCATTAACGCTTCAAGGTTCCTCTGCCAAATCAAATGCTCTAGTGGTTAAGATGGACTTTTCAATTGTGTAATAAGATACATAATGATGGAAATAAACAAGGCAAGAATAAGATTTATTTACTTCATATATCCCTTTTCTAACGCTGGCATTCCCAACATCTGGTTTGCCTATTTCTTACCAATCTAATACAGGATATATTGCTATATGCACTAAAATTAGAAAAGGTTTCAGTTCATGTAAACAGAAGGATGGCTGATTGACTCTTTAATGCAGAGTTGCTTGAAGGAGCCATAGTTGCACCAGGTAAAGTTGCAGTGCATGATATACTACAAACATTTACATAAGATTCTTATCACATCACTGACAAGTTTCAAAACGATCTTTAATACTGACTGATGAAAGCACTAAAGCAAAGCCATTTTAGTTATGTGACAGAATTTCAATACCTTATATCTAAGAGAATCAGCCAATCCCTGAATTCGGTCAATTCGCACACTTTTCCCAAATAGCCTAGAGAAGGTAGCATCACCATGGCGTGATTCCAGAGCTACAGTTATGCTGCAACCGTCTTCCCCAAGATTATAAACAAAGCCTTGCTTGCAAGAAGTGGCGCCCTCACCACGGCTGTTACATGTTCTCACACAAACCATGTCTCCAGGAGACAATGTAGTTGGAGGCAGCTTATGCCCACCTTCAACTCTGAATAGAACCAAATGCAGGCCTCCCAACCCTGCAAAAGTGGCAATTTGGGACAGCAGAAAACATTTTTCTCATTCAATCTGTCAGAGTAATAACTGAGGATAAAATTTGAACATAAAAGAAAAGAAGTAAACCGAAATTGTTCCCTCACCAGTGGAGCTGCTGATCACATTCAAGTTGCAAATGGTGTCGCATTGCTCCTGCTGAGCCTGCGCATGGCTCACCAGATACTCGACAGGCTTGGGTGGCTTGGAATCATCATCTAGCATTGGAGTGGCATTCAGCTCCTCCTGTGTAAACTCCAGCTCCACATCCCGCTCAATCCGAAGAAGATCTGACATATGTCTAACAAATTCTTCAATTCTGGCCTGCATCAGCCTCACTTTTTTAAGGGTTATACCGATGCTGCTGTGCACGGCCTTAGGCCGTGGAGATGTCATTCGCACTGCAGCCTGGTGCTCTGAAGAATTGGCCATTTCTTCCAAAATCCTCCATGACTGCGTGACTCGCAAGTCCGAGATGAGCCCCTGGTTCTGGTAACTCAACAGAACATCACAGAGCTCACGCTGGAAATGGTCGAACAGGGTGGGGTAGTGCGTGCAGGCCTTGAGGCAGAGCGCCTCCAGACCCTGGGGCATGGGCGCGGCCGAGAGGTAAGGCTGCGCCTGGATGACGAACCCAAGCCTGCCTTCCGCCGACGCCCACTCCAGAGCCAATGCCGTGGGAACAAGGTCGCCTGACATTTCGGCCGCGGCGAGCTTGGACGCCATGGATCGCATGCCCTGCCTGAGCCACTCCACCACGCACCGGCCGAGCTCGTTCCGCCCCAGCGGATCGCCGTTCTGGTACAGCGTCGCCACGCTAATGGATGCCTCCTCCATCGACGGCACGCATTCGCCCCCTCCTCCGCCACCACCTAAGCCTTTCTCTTCTTCCTCGGCCTTCCTCCTCCGCACCCGCCTCTTCGCGGTGCCGCTGGTGCTGCTGACGGCAGGTCGGGGGGTCTGCTTGGTGGGGCTCGATGGCACGGTCCGTACGCGCCGCGGCCGAAGAGAAGGGGCATTGGATGACGTTGACCTCGACGGCGTCGACGGCGAAGCACCAGCAACGAGAAACGTGACCATTTTCTTGCTCGGAGGCTTTGCGGCGGCGCACGAAGAGAACAAGAACTTGCCAGAGAGGATATCAAGCGACATGCTGCTGCTACTGCCTGCCCGGCCCCCAGCCCCAGCCTCCGCCGCCGCCGGACACGCTCGCACAGTCGCGCGGCGGAGGCAGCGTTGGGGAGGAGGCGCGCGCGCGCGGGAACGAGCGAACCAACTGACAGAAGGACCGACGAGCGGCTCACCTTTGCAGGTGAATGAATCCTTCGTGGAAAGCTGATATTTTTCGGCGATGGCGTGGCACGCGGAGCGTGCCCCGGCGACTGGTGGCGCAGGGCGCGGCTACGGGCTCCGTCCCCCTCCATACGCGCGCGCGGCGAAGCAGTGAGCAAGTAAAGTGCCGTCTTCTGGTTTGATTTCGCGCGGTTGCCGTGTCTCGGCGGCCTCATCGATTCCAATTGGACGGACGTTCTCCGAGCGAACGCTCCACAACCACAGGGCTCGAAAGCTGCTGGGCCTCGTTTGTCCCCGCGCGCCGCGCCATCGCACGGTGATGGTGGTGGCTCGCACGCTGCTGGGCCTCGTTTGTCCCCGCGCGCTGCGCCATCGCAGGATGAGGGTGCTGTTTGGTTTGGCATCAGGTCGACTTGCATGCGCGGCCTGCGGACCACATGGCCCGCCCGCCTGGACGGTGGCGTTTGCCGTTTGGTATGGCATCGGATCGACTTGCGTGCACTACTTTTTTCGTCCTTTTTGCTTTTGCTTTTTTTCCTACATTTTCCTTTTCCTTTTTTCTGTTGTTTCTTGTATTAATGTTTTATACGTTTTCCTGTGTTATACAGAATTTGCAGAACAAATTTATCATCATAATTTTGTGTATAACATTTTGCAGAACAAATTTTATGTATAATACTTTGTGTATAACATTTCTTAGAAAGTTAACTTTTATGTATAATGTTTTGTGTATAACATTTTAAAGAACAAATTTATCACCATAAATTTTTTATCATAATTTTATATAGTTTTTTACACAATTTTATATATAACTTATCATGATAACTTTTCTATATTGTCTTTATAACCCAATTTTTTATTCATAACTATTTGTAGACAAACTTATGATAATAACAATTTCTCAACACAAATTTTCTAGCATAATTTTTGCATAATAATTTTATGAATAACATAACTTATACAAATACGTTTTTGTCATCTAACAATTTTTTACATAATTTGTTTCAGACCATTTTCTTTATTCTAGGGTTTCGATTGCATCGCATTGTAAGCATTCCTATGATATCGTTTGAATTTCATTAGTCAAATGAAAATATTTGGTGCTGCCGAGACACTCAGAAATCAAGTTTGTGCTACTGCATCTATTATTATTCGGTCTCGCTGTTCCTATCCGTTGGCCACATTTATTCTTATACTCCTGTGACTGATTAAACGGAAATTAGTAATGTGTCGTTGAACACTACTGGTATTTATTCAACCGGATCAGTGCTCTGTTTGAAGGTGCTTGACTCGGTGAGAGATTATTTGGCCAATAGAATATCTTATCAGAAAATACTCCTTTGCAGTCACCTGATAAGGCGTCATCAGTCACCTGCATCCCCACGCTCTTCGCCTCTCTCTCTCTCTCTCTCTCTGGCGAGCTCCTCCTCGGCGCTCGCGCCTGCCCCACCCCCCCTTCTTCCCTAACGCCGGCGGCTTGGGAGAAAAGGAGTTTGGGGGAGGAAAGCCAGCCAGGCAGTAGGGACGGCGGGTAGGGCTATTTAGGGGCCCTGGCGACGGTGGAGGCGGTCGGCTTGGTCGGGGCACGAGAGCTCCATGGCCGGAGTTCGCTGCGGGGAAAAGGAGGGGGGAGGGAAAGAAGGCACCCGTTGCGGGCGCGCCAGGGTTTCGCCAAAGCTACGGCAGCGGAGCTTCGGTGAAACCCTAGCGTGTCACGGCGGGGCGGTGGGCGGCGGCAAGGGCAAGGACGAGGAGAAGGGCAGGTCGATGAAGCTGTTGGCCGAGGCGAGGAGGAAGACCGGCGGAGGTGAGGTGGGCGCAGGGTAGGAGGCGAGGAGGGTGCGAGGTTGAAGATGACCGATGGTCAGTCACCTGTGCAGGAGACACACCGATAATATTAATTGGACATCCAATTAAATTGGTCTCTAATATATTCTTTTGGTGAGAAGAGTTTGATTGATACTGCGGTTGCCAAGTACTATCAGCGAATCTGAGATTTGGTGCTCGACTCGGTGAGAGATTATTTGGCCAACAGATTATTTGGAGTATATTTTATTGGTGAGAAGAGCTTGATTGATACTGCAGTTGCCAACTACTATCAGCACAAGCAAGTTATATTCTGGTATAGAGGTTTCAATGACGGATTAGTTCACTCCTTATTATTCGATTAAAGATTAAATATCTAGAAGACTTGACTTCTGCTGGTACATGAATTGTTAGTACCGTCAAAGATCGGGAAAATATTCGGGAGCCATGGGCTCATCTCGTTCTCTTTTCTTTAAAACAAAGCCGTCCTCGGCTTTGACTTGTTTTCAAGTGACTTCTTTAGGATAGGGAAAACCTAAGTATTCTTAGCAGTAGCTATAGGTTGTCCATATTTTATATCATGCTCTGAATAACGTTGGATCATGGGCTGACGGGCCCTGTTTGGATCTTATGATAAAAGTTTAGTTCTGCACCTTTTGTCAACTTTTAGTCCATATGGATCCAAACAGGTGGGCTAAAAGTGAGCAAATAAGAAAAACTAAAATTTAGTCCATTTGCTACCAAGGGGGCCCTAAACTGGCTAAAAGTGTCTTGGGGCGCACTGACCACCCATACCCCCCACCCCACCCACCCACTCACTGTGCATGTGCATGTGCATGGCTTAATTAAATAAGGGCAAATCAGCCATTATAGGATAAAGGACTAAAGTTTTGCCTATAGATTCAAACAACATAGTAGGACTAAAGTTTACGGGCCTAGTCCATGGACAGTGATCCAAACAAGGCACTAGATCCTGGGAGCAACTTTGGAAACAACCTAAGGCTACTGGAATATTTTTAACAGCGTAGTTGTAATAGTAGGAACAACAATTTTGGTAGCATGAATAGTCATGTCACAATAGCCACATAGTATTTAAGTTAAGTTAATTTGTTAAGTTAATTTGTCAGTATTATCCTTTATTGCACTAAAATTTATTATTACCTTTGGAATTTATTTGAATTAGAGGTTGAGCCAAACCCAATTAATTCCAATAAAAATAGCTAGCTCTTTATTATTAGCACAAGCACTACTAACAAATTATACACCTCAGTTGAAACATACGGGGCATATTTGTTGGTATTGGTCCTGTTCTACAGCACTACTTTAGCAGTACTTTTTAGCGAACGAACAATGTTTTCGTTCCACAAAAAATCAGCATAAGCTAAATTTTAGCGAAACGAACAGGGCCAATATTAAAAGCGGTCTTCCCTTCCATCTCTCACTCTCTTGTCTATCTCGTCCGTTTGCCCCTTACTGCGTCGTCCATTCCTACTCTCTGCCCCGTTTGCCCGTCTCCCACTTCTCAGTCCTCCATCACTCTCACCCTTCTCACTTTGAATTTAAGGCTCTGTTCGGCTGGTCTATAAGCCTCTTGTGCTGATTTGTACGATTGATTTGTTAGAAGAAAAAAATACTGTAACATGGCTAATAAAACGGCTTATAATGGCAGCCGAACAGAGCCTAAAGCTACAGAACCTTCGTGGTGCGCATGCGAGCGCGTGTCACGCCTTCCCTCTTTCTTAAACTTAGAGCGTGTTTAGTTCCAGGAAGTTGAAATTTGGGGCTACTGTAGCACTTTCGTTTTTATTTGGTAATTAGTGTTCAATCATGGACTAATTAGGCTCAAAACGTTCGTCTCGTAATTTCCCACCAAACTACGTAATTAGTTTTTTTTCGTCTACATTTAATGCTACATGTACGGGCCGTAAACATTCGATGTGATAGGTACTATAGCATTGTTTGGGAATTTGGGGTGAAACTGAACACGCGCTTACAACATATGCACATACTAGGCACCAAACCCGTTGAGTCAATCTCTTATTAATTTTCTAGACGAGATTAATCATTTATAGCATTAGTATTTATTACGAGCATTAGACTTTATTCAATTTAAGGTTAGAGAGAAGGTTAATTAAATTCAACTAATTATTATGCATACCGTTGCAGTACAGTAACTTTCAATGACCATTAGACAATTTAAGGTTAGAGAGAAGGTTAATTAAATTCAACTAATTATTATGCATACCGTTGCAGTAACTTTCAATGACCATTAGACAAGACCGATGGCCTCGCTCATGTGTGAGTATAGTACTTTGGAGACCTTGGCCGTACGCTAAAACTGAAAGAACCACAAACGCACCTACTAAAGCCGCAGCTGCTGCAGCTGCCTACAGCTGTTCACTCGTCGGCGAGTACTAGCATGAACTAGAAGCCGTGCAGCCGCAGCCGCAGCCGCAGCCGCAGCCGCTTAATCTTCGAAGGCCTCGCCCACCACGACCAAACACCCCGCTTGCTTGTCGCGCCCTCCGTTCTCCCAGCTTCTCTCCTCCAGACGACTAGTCATCCACGGGCCACGGCCATTTTCTATCCTGTCAACGTCAACCACATCGGGGCAACCCACCAAAGACCACCGCAACGGCGCAATCCATCCAAACCCCGGCAACTCCCTAATTCCCTCTCCCGGAGTCATCGAGATGCTCTCTTCCTCCTTTAGTTCAGCTCCCGCCGCGCTGTCTCGCGGGTCACCGCTCCAAGAACCATGCCCTGCCTATTGCTTCTAGCTCCACCGCCTCGCCCCTGTCTAATCGACTCGGTAAGTCGGCCACCACTTCCCAAATATCGGTTCTTCCTGCCCCGGATCCGGAGGCGGCCAAGTCCGCGGCTTGGCGTGCGGATGGCGGAGATGATCAGGGTTGGGAGCGGCGGGGAACCGCCCGAGGTTGGGGTTTCCATGGAGAGTGACCCGCTTGTGGGAGGGGACGCGCCGTCCCGCACGAGGTGGGAAGCGAGCCGGTGGGCGCCCGTGGAAGCTGCGCTGAATCGGATGGTTAGTG